ATGGTTGTCACTAATGGATTGGAAGAGGATTGCCTTGATGTAGAAGATGACTCCGAAGATCAGTTAATAGCCCTGCCCAAATTTGAGGAAGAAATTAAGTTAACAGTGGATAAATTAAAAGAGATCAACCTCGAGGCTAAGGAACAGCCCCGACCTAACTTCATAAGTTTGCTACATAATTGATCATGTTATTTATAGAATTCAAAGATTGCTTTGCCTGGAGTAATCATGAAATGCAAGGGTTGTCAGAGGAAGTTGCAGTTCATAAGCTAGGGGTGGTCAAAGATATGACCCCAGTAAAACAAGCTCCCAGAAGAATGGGTCTTGAGATAGAGCAGCAAGTCATCATCGAGATGAAGAAATAAATAGACGCTAACTTTGTGCGAGAAGAGCAATACTCCACGTGGTTAGCTAACATTATGCCGACTAAGAAGAAAAATGGACAGATCAGGGTTTGTGTCGACTTCAGAGATTTGAAAAAAGCCTGTCCAAAAGATGAATTTCCATTGTCCATACCAGAAATGATGGAGGACATCGTATCGACACATGAGATTTTCTCTTTCATGGATGGATCATTAGGATATAACCAAATCAAGATGGCTTCAGAGGATGCAACACTTACAGCTTTTAGAATGTCGATTGGGATTTTTTGCTACACAGTAATACTGTTCGGTTTAAAGAACGCCGGAGCAACATACCAACAAGGAACACCACAACGAGGAACAAAGTTAACTAAATTTTATTAAGATGTGTGTGTTTCATATATAAAGTAACAAAAAGCAAAGTTAACCAAACTATACCGAGAATTTTTTCTATCAGGCAACATTCCAAGAAACCTATCATATCGAGGAACACTACCCTCGTTAACATATACCTAGTAAACTCCTCAAAAGTGACTTGCTCGTACTTTATTTAGGTTCATACAACCCAAGTTGATCTGTCATCTATTTATAGAGGAATAATATCATAACTTTCTCTTCAAATATTTTACCTTGTTCTTCAAGTTGGACATCTTAATCCATGTCCCATAGAATTGGATGAACCTAACTTTATAGGCTTAGATGGTAAAGTGTGTGTCAAATAGATCAATAAACCATGTTAGTTTCATCTTCCTTATAATTATGAGCATAATGATGATTATGGAAAATGATTCTAGCATAACTTGAGACTGTTAGATGGAATAAAAATTGAAGATTTCAACTAACCTAGGATAGGGATAGTGAGTCACAACTACATCTTGAACTAATCAAAGTAGAATATAAGTTCATTGACATGCTTCAGGTTGGGTGCTTGGCCTTTCTTTGAATCTTACATGTAGTTGGATGAGTTGAACGCAAACTCTGATAACATAAAATCAATATTATTTGCTATCATTTTTTTACTTTAATGAAAACTCAACTGCTATGAGTGACTTATAACTAGCACAAAGAGTGGAAGTAATCATTGATAATGATGAAATCATAATTATGATAAGAAAAACATTATGAAAAGAAAATAGTCAAATTCCAAAGTAGCACAATAATTGTGGAACATATTTAAATTTATCAAATCATCATTCAAATTGAAGTTCCAAATACATCATTTCTTTATTCAAACAAATAATTTATTATTATAATCCCTCAATATAAGAAAACCGCCCAATCAACCATAGGCAAGCACTATAGTACACGCACACCCATGATTTTATATAGAAAAAAAATAACTAATGCATAGGCTCAATAAAACCTCAATAGAAAAATGGCCAAGCCAAATAAGTTGTTTTAGGACGAGCTCTCCATCAATCTAGTATTGGGTCAAGCGAGCGGATTACACTTGTCTTTAAAATTTGAGGTACTTTTCATTAATCTCATCATTTTTTGGCATAACTAGTAATAATTGGTGAACTGGAAGCATTCATCTTTATCGAACGACCATGTTTTGTGGATCCACTTACCATGATAGTGCAAGGATCATGTTTGAGCCACCTTCACGATACTTTTCAAGAAATTCACCTACAAATAGTGTAACAAAACATTCAATTCAACTAACAATGTAAAGAAATCTCAAAAGTGCAACACAACTCTAGTTGGTAAATTCCCAACCACATATCTAGAACATATTCTTCAGTGTTAAGAGGAAAATTTCAAGAGCTTGTTGATTGATTTCTCTCCCATCTAGTCTTTTTCTTCTCCCAAAAAAATCATATGTACATTCAAGTTCAATCCACTTACACTCTAATTTTGAGGATGATACACTTTTGTAGGGTAGTCTTACATAAGATTGATATTTGTGAACCAGATTATATAAAATATTTTTCAATAATGTCTTCTAATCATGTATAATATTAATACGTGTTTTATATACCCTATGATCCTTGTCAAAGTTGTGTAATTATGGGCAGATTGCTAGGCTCTCTGAAGTAAGCCTGAACTAGCTCCATATCGATTTCGTCCAAGTGGACCCTAGGACCACAAAATTTGTACACTCTAATGGATCCTCTTCCATAATGCCCATTCTAGTGGTCCAATTCACAAAACGAACCTATTCACAAGAAGTGATCGAGGTCTTTCTTGTCCACTTCACCACTCATTTTTTTCTCTTGTAGTCACCTTCCAATTGTTACTTGACAAATAAAACTCCAAGAAGCTCAAAAAATGTTATATATCTATAATGTTCTAAAATACTCTCCATTTAAACCAATCAAAAGAGTTAGACACAAGAGAATAACTAGAAGGATGGATGTTTTGTAGATGGAAGACTGAATCAACTGGCATCAATTCATCCTATTTATAAGAAATGAAGGATCCAAGGAGTTATTAAAATATCAATAATTTAAACAGGTAATAAAATTGACATAATTATAATAACCTTTATTTTTATTGTTGTTATTATTATCTTATTCTTTTTCAAATCAACATCCAAAAGATAAGAGAATCTGGAACTTAATATGTATAATCGAATGCATCTAACCAAATTCAGGTTTAAGAATAAGAAAGTGTAATGGGCAAGTGTAATGGGCCCCTAAATTCTTAAGGTTGATTATCTTGTTAAGTGGACAAGTTACCAAATATAAGTCGCTGAGCACCAGCCGCCAAGTACAAGTTACCAATTTATTTACCTTAATCAACCCATGAGCATTAAGTTTGGTAAAGATCACTCACCCACTACCAAAGGAACCAAGTTTGACTCATTATCATAGAATTCTACTCAATTAAAGAGGACAACTCACTCTAAAGTTGAATTGCTCATTGTCAAATTAGCTCAAATGCCAAGTAAGACGACAAGGTTGTGAACCGACGAGAGTTATGGGGAACATATATCAAAACATGACGTTGTTAGAGATAATATTAATTATAATGTCAAAATCAAAAGGAGAAAATAAAATATCAACACGAGATCTTTGAGGTTCTTCTTGTAATTAATAATTATTTTGTAGTACATGAAAAGCATCACCTATAAATAGAGGAAGTTCCTTTTAATAAGTGGTTGATCCTCAAACATTATACAAATCCTTTTTTACTCTATTATTTGGCTTATTTCCTCATTTGATTCTACTTTTTTTTTAGAATGTGACCACATATAAATCAGGTCAAACTCAAGTTCCTATACTTGAGCTTTATTACAGATCATGTTAGACAGCCTTGAATACACCATTTATGAACAAGTTTCTACCAATGCTTTTCATTTGGTGCTTCTACATACATTTATTTTTTACACTATTTCCTCCCCGAACAGAGCACGCCAGAGATAATGACTCGAACACTGTCATAACAGTCATCTAAAATCAAAGCAGCTAAAGAAACATGGCTCTGAAAAAGAAAGCTCTGAACAATGGCTTCACTAAAGAAGCATTGCGTGCTTTTGGAATGCAAATAATTTTTAGAGCAAGTTTCATACTGAACATATTCTTTTGCTTTTTTGCCAGTATCACCAACTTCACTGTTCATCAACATCACCCCTTTACTTCCTCAGCAATTCTCTTGCTTTATTCCTGCCTTCTATCTTGATGCTTTCTCCATATCTAAGAGAAATGATAACAGTACCATTAAAAAAAAAATTGAAAATTTAAAAATGAAAACATTTAAAAATTCTAAAATTTAAAATATTAAAAAATTAAAATTGAAAGGCATGTATTTATGGCAGGAAGTAAGATTGATGTGTTTGCTTTTATTTGTGCAAAAATAACCAAGTGGCAAAATGACTGAACATCGAATAGTTTTACAGTCACCTCATTGAGTCTATTGTGCTCAACAAATTTGACACAACTAGCATTTTTCATAGATTCAGCAAGCAAAACTTAAAAAATTAACAGCTGAATAAAAAATCTACCATCCCAGCATATGCTGTTGAGGCTGAACACAATTGGGATCAGCAATAAATAAAAACAGAAATAATTAAAAATAAAATAAAAAGAGAACGCAGGTGCAATTAAAGATTCCAAATATTTTAATTAATCTTGCTACAATAACCACCGAAGCAGCTTATGTTGCAATATTTTGTTAATAAAGTGCAGAAATAATATAAATTTAACCCCGAAGCCTCTTATGTTTAGAATATACCTGTAAGTCAAATCATAAATACTACTCATGTGTTAAAAGCCAGCAATGATGTTCAAAAAGCTGCAAAAGAAAAGGTAATAAGATGCTTATAGTTCGCATAAACAAATACGTGAGCTAAACAAAAGAAAAATAGCTTGAAAAGTTTGTCTAGAAAAGCTATAGCATAAGGAAAGTCGTAATTTATTACATTACTTTCTATGGTGGCCAACTGATCACTCAGTTTTTCTATTTTCTAAATCGACATGGAAGAACATGGCAAATAAAAACTATTTTACTTCAGAAAAGCTAGATTCTCCATTAAAACTGAACTCGGTTAAAGATATCTCAAGCATTGTTTTGTTCCTTGAGCACTTCCCCTTATCATAAAATTTCTAAATTCTGTTTTTTTTTTATTTTTTATTTTTCTAAAGTGGTATATAAGCAGCTCATCCGTTAGAGATTAGACAGGCAACAAAACAGAATTATATTTTCAGCCTCATAAAATCATAAAATATGATTTCATGGGAAGATGTTTACCATGTCCTGGAGGCAACAGTTCCATTATATGTAGCCATGGCCTTGGCCTACTTGTCTGTAAGATGGTGGAAACTGTTCACGCCAGATCAATGCTCTGTGATTAACAAGTTCGTTGCAAAGATTTCTATCCCTTTGCTTTCATACCATGTCATCTCCACGAACAATCCTTACCACATGAATCTCAAGCTTCTCTTAGCAGACATTGTGCAAAAGTTCTTGGCTCTTATCATTTTCGCAATCCTCAGTAAAGTGTACATCAAAGGAAGTATTGATTTGTTGATTACCGGATTTTCTGTATCTACACTACCAAACACTCTGATTGTGGGAATTCCATTACTGAAAGGCTTGTATGATGATGAAGCTGCACAGCTTCTTGGCCAGATAGTCGTCTTGCAGAGCCTTCTTTGGTATACCCTTCTCCTGTTTCTGTTTGAGTTCCGTGCTGCTAAAGAATTGTCCTCACCGGCATCAGAAAACTCTGGTGATACTATAAATTTATTTCCTGCTATTATTCGCATAAACAAGCTAACATTATTAGATGCTGTATTTAAATCATTAAAAAAAATTGTTAATGGTATGCCATTTATTTAAATCCCAGGAAAGGTTGCCTGAAATTATGCCGGGTGAAATGCTTCAAATCAGAACAAATTTTTGACCTTTTATTTTCTTTTGTCAAAACAGAATCTTTGGTAGGCAGAATTACACCGAAATGGCATCAATTTAACCGTTAGACAAATAGTGGCATGCATAACATAACGTATTATGGAAATGTCTAGTTTTTAAGTCTAGAAAAGCGCACTTTTCTCAGGTATGCAAACGAAAAGCGACTGTTAGGTGCTAGGCTTATATAAACAAGATAGTTCTGATGAGAGAATGCATTCATTCATGTTAGAACTAGCCATTCATAAATTATTGGGAGCCTTCTTTGGTATACCCTTCTCCTGTTTCATATAAAAAATTACAACTAGCCATTTTGTCCAACATTGACAAATATTGATGGAAGTGCCACTTATATTACCAAAATATTTTTTAAAATTGCTTAGTCAATTTAACAAGTTTTTAAGCCCATGCACAATTGACCCGATATGATTTGTATCCCAATAGAAAAACATAAGGATGAGATTCATTTGATAAAAGGAAAGCTAATCCCAATGTTTAAATTAATAATCGAAGGCTCCCAATGATTTATGCAGTGCATTGACTTATAATAGACAACACAGGCTAATAACTTAAACTAAGTTTTATCAAGGTTATTGACAACTCATCTCCAACTCACTCTAAGGCTATATATTTAAATCCTTCTAGTATAGCAAAACCTCTCCTTTTAAGGTTTTATGTCCTAAAAAATGTCATAAGTCAGGCATGAAACCTATAAGTTTTGCTAGAACCTTAGGCTCTGTTCGACTTCACATTTGTTTTTTTTTTAATTGTTTTACTTTTTTTATCTTATTCGGTTGGTATATTTATATGCTTTCACTTTTATCTTTTAAAACAAATCAACTTATTTTTAGAAATACTAAGGGCATCTAAAAGATGATTTTGTTTTTTTTTAAATAATTATCTTAACCAAACGTGTTTTAATTAATTTCAAAACACAAATAAAAAAATAAAAAAAATAAATAATAAATAATAATTATAAATAAAAGAGATCCCAAACAACCTCTTAGGCTTTAGGCTTTTTTAACTTCAAATTTATATGCCGCAACTCTTGGGCCACTCTATCTTTAGAGTTCTATGTTTAAGTTTCATAGTCCTACCATAATGAAACATAAGTTAGTAGGTTATGCCACTAAGACATGACCTTTTTTTACTATACGTAAATGTTAATGTAAAGAAAACAAAGAAAATTGATGCTCATGGTGTATAGTCTAACACTTTAAACAACATCTAAAATTTATTAGTTCAAATATTTCATATTTAATAAGCTTGAAAAATCAGCATAAAGTAATTAAATCTACAAGGTGTAAGTTAGGTAAAAGTAATGAGCATGTAGTGATTGCTAAGTCATATGATAGTTAAACTAATAATTTGAATGCAACACACATTGTAACTTAAGGTATTGTTTTATGAGATTAAGCAATTGTATATGTTACATAACAACTACAATACAATATTAATTATTTAACACAATTACACAAGTTATGTAAATAAATCTGCTATCCATAAGTTATATTTTAATATTCTAAACATAAGGTAATTATGAAAGAAAATGTTGTTATATTAGAAGAATCAAAGTTTAAGCACATATAAAAATTTCATTCGTAGGCAGTTGTGTAATTACAAGAGTTACAATAATAACAAACTTTCAAGCAAACCTAAGCAATTCAATAGAATAACAATAAAATGCAATTTATGAAATCTAAGTGAATAGCACAGAACATCCACTTCTCCTTACAAACTACCTCTTTAATGATATGAAACTCTCAATTATCTTCCTTAATTGGTAAAAGCACCCAAGCACATAACATTAACAGGCATAGAAAACCTAATCTCTAAGTTAAGTGAAATCGTAGAATGTCCCACCCAAAAAAATTAGATATGAGAAGTAAATTTAACAAAATTTTTACTCCCAATATATTTCTAGTAAGAATGTAATCCTATTAAAGAATTTTACTTCATACATTTAATTTATATAGCATGAATATATATATATATATATATATATATATATATATTAAAAAGGCAACATCTGTTAATGTCCAAAAAAAACTTACAAGGGATGGAATCAAGAAATGTTTCTAATATAGAGCAATAATATTTTAAAAATTCTCATACTTTACTTGTTTCTGTAAAGTTGAGGGGCACTTTAGTGTTGAAAGAACTGCTTAAAGTTAAAGAGAAAGCAAAAGATTTAATTGTTTGGGAGCTTGGGGAGGGCTACCTCAATTTTTTATCAGACTACAGGGCTTTAACTAGACCTCTTAAGTCTTTCTCTATAGTTAAAAATTTTGTGATAATTTGTGTGACACAGGGACTAAGAAATATAGTTGAAATTCTCTATAGTTCTTGTCCAGACCAGTATTGTCATATTTTGGTTGTTGTCCACCTTCAAAGTTTTTATCCAGACCCCCATCATGATCTTCCAGTCAAGATACACTATCCATTTCACTGTCCTGGTCATCATCATCATCTTTCCTTCAATGTCCACCTTCCACTACATCTTGCCAACATCCCTACTCCATTCTGGTTCCCTCCGACATTCTGCGCCTCTTTCTTTTCCAGTCAGACATGCCTCCCTTCTGTTGAGGTATCATTTATGTGTTTTTTACTTTTTTATTTATTATCTTGTGCTACTTTATTCTTATTGGAGGGGTCATCATTGTCGCTTGATTGTTTCTATATTGGTGTTGTTCTATGTTAATAGTCACTGTTGTATTTTCCTTAAACATAGTAAAAAAATTGGGTTGTTTGCTCATGATTTTGGTTAACTCTAGTATCATTTGGTATTAGAGGTAGCATAATCCTAGTTCTATTATAGGGTTTCCTAGCATCTAATTCTACCCAAGTCACCTCTACTAAAATTTTTCTTTCATAATCACAAACCCTAGCCAAATTTTAACGTTAATTTCTCTATACTAATTTTCAAAATTAGCAAACCCAAATTAGTTTTCTTACTTCTTTAATGATTAACCTACACCCCCGCTCACCTCCTAACCATAAACCTTAGCCATGCCACCTAGAAGATGCATGCTCGAGGCTACCCGGAAGGAGATACGGTGAGAGATCTAGCAACTTTAATGTAAGTTTATGAAAATTGAGGATGAAACATGGGGGGAGCTTGCCCTAAATTAGGATCTAAAAAATTAAAAGGGAGCAAGAGATTAAGATTTGAATCCCTTTCATAGGGAGGACTTTAGTGATACATACGATCGTTGACGAAACTTTGGAATCAAGTATCAAAGTAGGCTGAGAGAAAAGCTGACATGTGAACAATGAGAAAATCTGATGATGAAGAGAGAGAACCAACACCTATCCTTATTAGATTACTAAATAGAAGATTCAGACTTTAGCTTTAGAAGTGGAGAGACCACTTCACCAGGAGACCACCACATCTTAAATGTAATGCTCAACCTCTGTTCTTACAATTAGATTACACCTATGAGAATATCCAAGCTCACCCCATCAATGAAAAGCTGGAGTCAGAGCGGAGAACAGGTGGAAACAATCCACAACTCTAAATTTGTCCTAACCAGAAAGTGCTACAAGTGCTATGGATTTAAGCATGTTGAATCAAACTGCACAACTTTAGAGTGATATGTTTCACTGAGCAGGCTTTAGACAAGTAGTTGCAGGCTACAGAGAAGAGTCTTAATGTTCACCAATGAGGAAGAGACACTTTCAATTTTAGTTGCCCAAGATAGAGATTATATCTGATGTAATAATAACCATTGTAGAAAGTAATGACTCTGACATAATGGGCATTCTGGTAGAATACAAGATTATGGTGCCTCAAGCTAGCATTTTGTAGGCATTGAGAGGAACATCAGTTAGACTAACCTTAGATGTCCACAAGGACCATGAGTTTAAGGAGCCAATATTAGACTTAGTGCAACCTAGAAAAAAGAAATATCAACCTTTTAGATCCATAAACTCATCCCTAACTTGGCTCTATTGAGGGAGGTTCTGCATTTTAGAGAGAGACTTTTTTATGCAATGCCATGAGGATTTCAAGAATTTATTCAGATGTCAAAGTCAGTTCATGATGGTACTCATCCTCAAATGTATAGATAGGATGGATGGAACCCAACTTAAAAATTTATATTAGGAGATTTTGGGGGAAGAAATTCTTAATGGAATTCAGGTCCTTTAAATGAAGAAAAGGTCTCTCCAAAGAGATTACTAATAAAAGAGGTGCAACCTACCATAAATTTCACCCCAGAGTTGATTTCTTCTCACATACTAGCTTATGAGCTAATTTTTGCTAAGTATGTGGAGTTGAAGAAGCTTTTTAAAAATGGGATAGCTTGATACTTGATTTATGAGAATTCTTCTCTATCCACAATTTTCGCTCAGTTTATGTCAAAAGAGGATGGATATTTATTCTATCAGAATGTGCTTTAAAATGATAATGCCTACTTGATCGACCTACTAGAGGACTTGATATCATGCCACAAAGAGCTAGAAGCTTTGATGAATGAAGTCAAAGCTCCCTCTAACCCTGAAAGATTGACACAGGAGCTTGTCCGGTCAAGGTACTATAGTTGCTACTGTACCGCAAGCCCTAACCTTTTTCTTTTCTAATTCCCTCCTATTCCCTTTTCATTTCTATGATTCTCCTATTTTACACCTTGATTATTCTATGACATTCCTCTTCTATTTCCTTTTTATTATGATCCTCACATATTATATTTTCTAATCCCGACTATAAATATGTTGTTGGTATTTTTAGGTACAGTCTTTTATTAATCCAAATTTCAAGATTCAATAGCAGTTACAGTGTGATTAAAACATTCTTTGCTATGTTTTTGCTCACAATTAATG